TGTGTGTGTGTAGTTGTAAAGAAAAAAAGACTGTCAACTTATAGTGGCAATAAACGTCTGCAATAGATTTCTTCGGTCTCTCGACCGTAACACATTGTACATGCAGCCAAATCACAATTCAAACGATAGTCCGTCGTAACAGTTCAACAGGCAACGTAGAAAACGGCAAAATGGTGTCACACATCGAACCTTCACTTCTGACCAGCAAAAACGCGTGTTCGTCCCCCAAGCTCAGAAAATCCAAATCAGCCACATAAGCGAAAAACAACGGCTTTTGTTTACCGGAGATCTTGCTGATTGGTCATGCCATTCAGGGGAGGAAAGAACATTAGCATAGATTCTGGTCCGTAAAGTAGATTTTTGCTAACTACTTTTTGGTAATTTTTCTTCGGCAGATCGCACACAAAACACGAACTCTTTTTCGAGGTAGCTGATTAAATCTTTCACTACAATCAATCAATCAATCAATCAATCAATATATATATATATATATATATATATATATATATATATATATATATATATATATATATATATATATATCTGTGTGTGTGTGTGTGTGTGTATATCTCTTCAATATATACACGCATTTATAAATGAAGTGTTAATTAACAAAACCGCTTACAGATATGTTCAGATACCTACACAAACTTTTAATCTCTCCTTACTACACACTTACAACCATTTCTTGATTTCGTTCAAATTAGCTCTCTAATTAGTTCGAGTCATTAACTCCGGTTTTTAATTTTTCTTATTTCATCAGAATTTCACGTGGGGTATTGACCTAGATCTTTGGGACTAAAAGCTTACGGCCATATCACGCTGAAAGACCGGTACCCGCACGTTCACCGAAGATAAACGTTGTCCGGTCAGTAGCTAGATGGGTGACAGCTTGGGAATACCAGGTACTGCAGGCAATATGACCACTGAGTTATAGTAGGTGCTTGGATTTACGGTTGGTATGCCTTACTCCCATATCACGGTGGAACACTGATTTCCACATGATGACCGAAGTTAAGCGATGCTGAATTTGGTCAGTATCTAGATGGGTGACCGCTTGGGAATACCAACTGCTGTAACCTTCGATGTACGATTGGTATGTTTTAAGGCCATGTCTCGGCCTTACTGAAGTTAAGCGACGTCGAGCTTGGTCAGTAGCTAGATGGGTGACCGCTTGGGAATACCAGGTACGCAGGCAATATGACCACTGAGTTATAGTAGGTGCTTGGATTTACGGTTGGTATGCCTTACTCCCATATCACGGTGGAACACTGATTCCCACATGATGACCGAAGTTAAGCGATGCTGAATTTGGTCAGTATGGATGGGTGACCGCTTGGGAATACCAACTGCTGTAACCTTCGATGTACGATTGGTATGTTTTAAGCGAATGTCTCGGCGAAACTCCGTTTCCCGGACGATTACTGAAGGTTTAAATCACGACGTCGAGCTTGGTCAGTTACTGAAGTTAAGCGACGATGGGTGACCCGCTTGGGAATACCAGGTACTGCAGGCAATATGACCACTGAGTTATAGTAGGTGCTTGGATTTACGGTTGGTATGCCTTACTCCCATATCACGGTGGAACACTGATTCCCCATGATGACCGAAGTTAAGCGATGCCGAATTTGGTCAGTATCTAGATGGGTGACCGCTTGGGAATACCAACTGCTGTAACCTTCGATGTACGATTGGTATGTTTTAAGGCCATGTCTCGGCGAAACTCCGTTTCCCGGACGATTACTGAAGTTAAGCAACGTCGAGCTTGGTCAGTAGCTAGATGGGTGACCGCTTGGGAATACCAGGTACTGCAGGCAATATGACCACTGAGTTATAGTAGGTGCTTGGATTTACGGTTGGTATGCTTTACTCCCATATCACGGTGGAACACTGATTCCCACATGATGACCGAAGTTAAGCGATGCTGAATTTGGTCAGTATCTAGATGGGTGACCGCTTGGGAATACCAACTGCTGTAACCTTCGATGTACGATTGGTATGTTTTAAGGCCATGTCTCGGCGAAACTCCGTTTCCCGGACGATTACTGAAGTTAAGCGACGTCGAGCTTGGTCAGTAGCTAGATGGGTGACCGCTTGGGAATACCAGGTACTGCAGGCAATATGACCAGTTATAGTAGGTGCTTGGATTTACGGTTGGTATGCCTTACTCCCATATCACGGTGGAACACTGATTCCCACATGATGACCGAAGTTAAGCGATGCTGAATTTGGTCAGTATCTAGATGGGTGACCGCTTGGGAATACCAACTGCTGTAACCTTCGATGTACGATTGGTATGTTTTAAGGCCATGTCTCGGCGAAACTCCGTTTCCCGGACGATTACTGAAGTTAAGCGACGTCGAGCTTGGTCAGTAGCTAGATGGGTGACCGCTTGGGAATACCAGGTACTGCAGGCAATATGACCACTGAGTTATAGTAGGTGCTTGGATTTACGGTTGGTATGCCTTACTCCCATATCACGGTGGAACACTGATTCCCACATGATGACCGAAGTTAAGCGATGCTGAATTTGGTCAGTATCTAGATGGGTGACCGCTTGGGAATACCAACTGCTGTAACCTTCGATGTACGATTGGTATGTTTTAAGGCCATGTCTCGGCGAAACTCCGTTTCCCGGACGATTACTGAAGTTAAGCGACGTCGAGCTTGGTCAGTAGCTAGATGGGTGACCGCTTGGGAATACCAGGTACTGCAGGCAATATGACCACTGAGTTATAGTAGGTGCTTGGATTTACGGTTGGTATGCCTTACTCCCATATCACGGTGGAACACTGATTCCCATGATGACCGAAGTTAAGCGATGCTGAATTTGGTCAGTATCTAGATGGGTGACCGCTTGGGAATACCAACTGCTGTAACCTTCGATGTACGATTGGTATGTTTTAAAGGCCATGTCTCGGCGAAACTCCGTTTCCCGGACGATTACTGAAGTTAAGCGACGTCGAGCTTGGTCAGTAGCTAGATGGGTGACCGCTTGGGAATACCAGGTACTGCAGGCAATATGACCACTGAGTTATAGTAGGTGCTTGGATTTACGGTTGGTATGCCTTACTCCCCATATCACGGTGGAACACTGATTCCCACATGATGACCGAAGTTAAGCGATGCTGAATTTGGTCAGTATCTAGATGGGTGACCGCTTGGGAATACCAACTGCTGTAACCTTCGATGTACGATTGGTATGTTTTAAGGCCATGTCTCGGCGAAACTCCGTTTCCCGGACGATTACTGAAGTTAAGCGACGTCGAGCTTGGTCAGTAGCTAGATGGGTGACCGCTTGGGAATACCAGGTACTGCAGGCAATATGACCACTGAGTTATAGTAGGTGCTTGGATTTACGGTTGGTATGCCTTACTCCCATATCACGGTGGAACACTGATTCCCACAAACCCGATGACCGAAGTTAAGCGATGCTGAATTTGGTCAGTATCTAGATGGGTGACCGCTTGGGAATACCAACTGCTGTAACCTTCGATGTACGATTGGTACGTTTTAAGGCCATGTCTCGGCGAAACTCCGTTTCCCGGACGATTACTGAAGTTAAGCGACGTCGAGCTTGGTCAGTAGCTAGATGGGTGACCGCTTGGGAATACCAGGTACTGCAGGCAATATGACCACTGAGTTATAGTAGGTGCTTGGATTTACGGTTGGTATGCCTTACTCCCATATCACGGTGGAACACTGATTCCCACATGATGACCGAAGTTAAGCGATGCCGAATTTGGTCAGTATCTAGATGGGTGACCGCTTGGGAATACCAACTGCTGTAACCTTCGATGTACGATTGGTACGTTTTAAGGCCATGTCTCGGCGAAACTCCGTTTCCCGGACGATTACTGAAGTTAAGCGACGTCGAGCTTGGTCAGTAGCTAGATGGGTGACCGCTTGGGAATACCAGGTACTGCAGGCAATGTGACCACTGAGTTATAGTAGGTGCTTGGATTTACGGTTGGTATGCCTTACCCCATATCACGGTGGAACACTGATTCCCACGGACCGAAGTTAAGCGATGCTGAATTTGGTCACTAGATGGTGATTCCCAACTGCTGTAACCTTCGATGTACGATTGGTATGTTTTAAGGCCATGTCTCGGCGAAACTCCGTTTCCCTGGATTACTGAAGTTAAGCGACGTCGAGCTTGGTCAGTAGCTAGATGGGTGACCGCTTGGGAATACCAGGTACTGCAGGCAATATGACCACTGAGTTATAGTAGGTGCTTGGATTTACGGTTGGTATGCCTTACTCCCATATCACGGTGGAACACTGATCCCACATGATGACCGAAGTTAAGCGATGCCGAATTTGGTCAGTATCTAGATGGGTGACCGCTTGGGAATACCAACTGCTGTAACCTTCGATGTACGATTGGTACGTTTAAGGCCATGTCTCGGCGAAACTCCGTTTCCCGGACGATTACTGAAGTTAAGCGACGTCGAGCTTGGTCAGTAGCTAGATGGGTGACCGCTTGGGAATACCAGGTACTGCAGGCAATGTGACCACTGAGTTATAGTAGGTGCTTGGATTTACGGTTGGTATGCCTTACTCCCATATCACGGTGGAACACTGATTCCCATGATGACCGAAGTTAAGCGATGCCGAATTTGGTCAGTATCTAGATGGGTGACCCTTGGGAATACCAAGTGCTGTAACCTTCGATGTACGATTGGTATGTTTTAAGGCCATGTCTCGGCGAAACTCCGTTTCCCGGACGATTACTGAAGTTAAGCGACGTCGAGCTTGGTCAGTAGCTAGATGGGTGACCGCTTGGGAATACCAGGTACTGCAGGCAATGTGACCACTGAGTTATAGTAGGTGCTTGGATTTACGGTTGGTATGCCTTACTCCCATATCACGGTGGAACACTGATTCCCACATGATGACCGAAGTTAAGCGATGCCGAATTTGGTCAGTATCTAGATGGGTGACCGCTTGGGAATACCAAGTGCTGTAACCTTCGATGTACGATTGGTACGTTTTAAGGCCATGTCTCGGCGAAACTCCGTTTCCCGGACGATTACTGAAGTTAAGCGACGTCGTCGAGCTTGGTCAGTAGCTAGATGGGTGACCGCTTGGGAATACCAGGTACTGCAGGCAATGTGACCACTGAGTTATAGTAGGTGCTTGGATTTACGGTTGGTATGCCTTACTCCCATATCACGGTGGAACACTGATTCCCACATGATGACCGAAGTTAAGCGATGCTGAATTTGGTCAGTATCTAGATGGGTGACCGCTTGGGAATACCAAGTGCTGTAACCTTCGATGTACGATTGGTACGTTTAAGGCCATGTCTCGGCGAAACTCCGTTTCCCGGACGATTACTGAAGTTAAGCGACGTCGAGCTTGGTCGTAGCTAGATGGGTGACCGCTTGGGAATACCAGGTACTGCAGGCAATGTGACCACTGAGTTATAGTAGGTGCTTGGATTTACGGTTGGTATGCCTTACTCCCATATCACGGTGGAACACTGATTCCCATGATGACCGAAGTTAAGCGATGCCGAATTTGGTCAGTATCTAGATGGGTGACCGCTTGGGAATACCAACTGCTGTAACCTTCGATGTACGATTGGTACGTTTTAAGGCCATGTCTCGGCGAAACTCCGTTTCCCGGACGATTACTGAAGTTAAGCGACGTCGAGCTTGGTCAGTAGCTAGATGGGTGACCGCTTGGGAATACCAGGTACTGCAGGCAATATGACCACTGAGTTATAGTAGGTGCTTGGATTTACGGTTGGTATGCCTTACTCCCCATATCACGGTGGAACACTGATTCCCACATGATGACCGAAGTTAAGCGATGCCGAATTTGGTCAGTATCTGAGATGGGTGACCGCTTGGGAATACCAAGTGCTGTAACCTTCGATGTACGATTGGTACGTTTTAAGGCCATGTCTCGGCGAAACTCCGTTTCCCGGACGATTACTGAAGTTAAGCGACGTCGAGCTTGGTCAGTAGCTAGATGGGTGACCGCTTGGGAATACCAGGTACTGCAGGCAATATGACCACTGAGTTATAGTAGGTGCTTGGATTTACGGTTGGTATGCCTTACTCCCCATATCACGGTGGAACACTGATTCCCGACATGATGACCGAAGTTAAGCGATGCCGAATTTGGTCAGTATCTAGATGGGTGACCGCTTGGGAATACCAAGTGCTGTAACCTTCGATGTACGATTGGTACGTTTAAGGCCATGTCTCGGCGAAACACCGTTTCCCGGACGATTACTGAAGTTAAGCGACGTCGAGCTTGGTCGGTAGCTAGATGGGTGACCGCTTGGGGAATACCAGGTACTGCAGGCAATATGACCACTGAGTTATAGTAGGTGCTTGGATTTACGGTTGGTATGCCTTACTCCCATATCACGGTGGAACACTGATTCCCACATGATGACCGAAGTTAAGCGATGCCGAATTTGGTCAGTATCTAGATGGGTGACCGCTTGGGAATACCAACTGCTGTAACCTTCGATGTACGATTGGTACGTTTTAAGGCCATGTCTCGGCGAAACTCCGTTTCCCGGACGATTACTGAAGTTAAGCGACGTCGAGCTTGGTCAGTAGCTAGATGGGTGACCGCTTGGGAATACCAGGTACTGCAGGCAATGTGACCACTGAGTTATAGTAGGTGCTTGGATTTACGGTTGGTATGCCTTACTCCCATATCACGGTGGAACACTGATTCCCACATGATGACCGAAGTTAAGCGATGCCGAATTTGGTCAGTATCTAGATGGGTGACCGCTTGGGAATACCAACTGCTGTAACCTTCGATGTACGATTGGTACGTTTTAAGGCCATGTCTCGGCGAAACTCCGTTTCCCGGACGATTACTGAAGTTAAGCGACGTCGAGCTTGGTCAGTAGCTAGATGGGTGACCGCTTGGGAATACCAGGTACTGCAGGCAATATGACCACTGAGTTATAGTAGGTGCTTGGATTTTACGGTTGGTATGCCTTACTCCCATATCACGGTGGAACACTGATTCCCACATGATGACCGAAGTTAAGCGATGCTGAATTTGGTCAGTATCTAGATGGGTGACCGCTTGGGAATACCAAGTGCTGTAACCTTCGATGTACGATTGGTACGTTTTAAGGCCATGTCTCGGCGAAACTCCGTTTCCCGGACGATTACTGAAGTTAAGCGACGTCGAGCTTGGTCAGTAGCTAGATGGGTGACCGCTTGGGAATACCAGGTACTGCAGGCAATGTGACCACTGAGTTATAGTAGGTGCTTGGATTTACGGTTGGTATGCCTTACCCCATATCACGGTGGAACACTGATTCCCACATGATGACCGAAGTTAAGCGATGCTGAATTTGGTCAGTATCAGATGGGTGACCGCTTGGGAATACCAAGTGCTGTAACCTTCGATGTACGATTGGTACGTTTTAAGGCCATGTCTCGGCGAAACTCCGTTTCCCGGACGATTACTGAAGTTAAGCGACGTCGAGCTTGGTCAGTAGCTAGATGGGTGACCGCTTGGGAATACCAGGTACTGCAGGCAATGTGACCACTGAGTTATAGTAGGTGCTTGGATTTACGGTTGGTATGCCTTACTCCCCATATCACGGTGGAACACTGATTCCAATGATGACCGAAGTTAAGCGATGCTGAATTTGGTCAGTATCTGAATGGGTGACCGCTTGGGAATACCAAGTGCTGTAACCTTCGATGTACGATTGGTACGTTTAAGGCCATGTCTCAGCGAAACTCCGTTTCCCGGACGATTACTGAATTAAGCGACGTCGAGCTTGGTCAGTAGCTAGATGGGTGACCGCTTGGGAATACCAGGTACTGCAGGCAATGACCACTGAGTTATAGTAGGTGCTTGGGATGCCTTATCCCATATCACGGTGGAACACTGATTCCCAACCGAAGTTAAGCGATGCCGAATTTGGTCAGTATCTAGATGGTGACCGCTTGGGAATACCAACTTTTATGTACGGGTACGTTTAAGGCCATGTCTCGGCGAAACTCCGTTTCCCGGACGATTACTGAAGTTAAGCGACGTCGAGCTTGGTCAGTAGCTAGATGGGTGACCGCTTGGGAATACCAGGTACTGCAGGCAATGTGACCACTGAGTTATAGTAGGTGCTTGGATTTACGGTTGGTATGCCTTACTCCCATATCACGGTGGAACACTGATTCCCACATGATGACCGAAGTTAAGCGATGCCGAATTTGGTCAGTATCTAGATGGGTGACCGCTTGGGAATACCAAGTGCTGTAACCTTCGATGTACGATTGGTACGTTTTAAGGCCATGTCTCGGCGAAACTCCGTTTCCCGGACGATTACTGAAGTTAAGCGACGTCGAGCTTGGTCAGTAGCTAGATGGGTGACCGCTTGGGAATACCAGGTACTGCAGGCAATATGACCACTGAGTTATAGTAGGTGCTTGGATTTACGGTTGGTATGCCTTACTCCCATATCACGGTGGAACACTGATTCCCACATGATGACCGAAGTTAAGCGATGCCGAATTTGGTCAGTATCTAGATGGGTGACCGCTTGGGAATACCAAGTGCTGTAACCTTCGATGTACGATTGGTACGTTTTAAGGCCATGTCTCGGCGAAACTCCGTTTCCCGGACGATTACTGAAGTTAAGCGACGTCGAGCTTGGTCATGTAGCTAGATGGGTGACCGCTTGGGAATACCAGGTACTGCAGGCAATATGACCACTGAGTTATAGTAGGTGCTTGGTTTTCCCGGACGGTTGGTATGCCTTGGTGACCATCCCATATCACGGTGGAACACTGATTCCCACATGATGACCGAAGTTAAGCGATGCCGAATTTGGTCAGTATCTAGATGGGTGACCGCTTGGGAATACCAAGCTGTAACCTTCGATGTACGATTGGTATTTTAAGGCCATGTCTCGGCGAAACTCCGTTTCCCGGACGATTACTGAAGATTAAGCGACGTCGATTGGTCAGTAGCTAGATGGGTGACCGCTTGGGAATACCAGGTACTGCAGGCAATGTGACCACTGAGTTAACTTGGATTTACGGTTGGTATGCCTTACTCCCATATCACGGTGGAACACTGATTCCCATGATGACCGATTAAGCGATGCCGAATTTGGTCGATGGGTTTGGGAATACCAAGGCTGTAACCTTCGATGTACGATTGGTACGTTTTAAGGCGTCTCGGCGAAACTCCGTTTCCCGGACGATTACTGAAGTTAAGCGACGTCGAGCTTGGTCAGTAGCTAGATGGGTGACCGCTTGGGAATACCAGGTACTGCAGGCAATGTGACCACTGAGTTATACTTGGATTTACGGTTGGTATGCCTTACTCCCATATCACGGTGGAACACTGATTCCCACATGATGACCGAAAGTTAAGCGATGCCGAATTTGGTCAGTATTAGATGGGTGACCGCTGGGAATACCAAGTGCTGTAACCTTCGATGTACGATTGGTACGTTTTACCATGTCTCGGCGAAACTCCGTTTCCCGGACGATTACTGAAGTTAAGCGACGTCGAGCTTGGTCGGTAGCTAGATGGGTGACCGCTTGGGAATACCAGGTACTGCAGGCAATATGACCACTGAGTTATAGTAGGTGCTTGGATTTACGGTTGGTATGCCTTACTCCCATATCACGGTGGAACACTGATTCCCATGATGACCGAAGTTAAGCGATGCCGAATTTGGTCAGTATCTAGATGGGTGACCGCTTGGGAATACCAAGTGCTGTAACCTTCGATGTACGATTGGTACGTTTTAAGGCCATGTCTCGGCGAAACTCCGTTTCCCGGACGATTACTGAAGTTAAGTCGACGTCGAGCTTGGTCCGCTTGGTACCAGCTGCAGAATGGGTGACCGCTTGGGAATACCAGGTACTGCAATTTGGCAATCCCCATGACCACTGAGTTATAGTAGGTGCTTCTCGGCGATTTACGGTTGGTATTACTGCCCATATCACGGTGGAACACTGATTCACGGTGGAACACATGATGACCGAAGTTAAGCGATGCTGAATTTGGTCAGTATCTGAATGGGTGACCGCTTGGGAATACCAAGTGCTGTAACCTTCGATGTACGATTGGTACGTTTTAAGGCCATGTCTCGGCGAAACTCCGTTTCCCGGACGATTACTGAAGTTAAGCGACGTCGAGCTTGGTCAGTAGCTAGATGGGTGACCGCTTGGGAATACCAGGTACTGCAGGCAATATGACCACTGAGTTATAGTAGGTGCTTGGATTTACGGTTGGTATGCCTTACTCCACGGTGGATCACGGTGGAACACTGATTCCCACCATGATGACCGAAGTTAAGCGATGCCCCGAATTTGGTCAGTATCTAGATGGGTGACCGCTTGGGAATACCAAGTGCTGTAACCTTCGATGTACGATTGGTGCGTTTGGTCAGGCCATGTCTCGGTCTCGTTTCCCGGACGATTACTGAAGTTAAGCGACGTCGAGCTTGGTCAGTAGCTAGATGGGTGACCGCTTGGGAATACCAGGTACTGCAGGCAATATGACCACTGAGTTATAGTAGGTGCTTGGATTTACGGTTGGTATGCCTTACCCCATATCACGGTGGAACACTGATTCCCACATGATGACCGAAGTTAAGCGATGCTGAATTTGGTCAGTATCTAGATGGGTGACCGCTTGGGAATACCAAGTGCTGTAACCTTCGATGTACGATTGGTACGTTTTGGCCATGTCTCGGCGAAACTCCGTTTCCCGGACGATTACTGAAGTTAAGCGACGTCGAGCTTGGTCAGTAGCTAGATGGGTGACCGCTTGGGAATACCAGGTACTGCAGGCAATGTGACCACTGAGTTATAGTAGGTGCTTGGATTTACGGTTGGTATGCCTTACTCCCATATCACGGTGGAACACTGATTCCCACATGATGACCGAAGTTAAGCGATGCTGAATTTGGTCAGTATCTAGATGGGTGACCGCTTGGGAATACCAAGTGCTGTAACCTTCGATGTACGATTGGTACGTTTTAAGGCCATGTCTCGGCGAAACTCCGTTTCCCGGACGATTACTGAAGTTAAGCGACGTCGAGCTTGGTCAGTAGCTAGATGGGTGACCGCTTGGGAATACCAGGTACTTGCAGGCAATATGACCACTGAGTTATAGTAGGTGCTTGGATTTACGGTTGGTATGCCTTACTCCCATATCACGGTGGAACACTGATTCCCACATGATGACCGAAGTTAAGCGATGCCGAATTTGGTCAGTATCTAGATGGGTGACCGCTTGGGAATACCAAGTGCTGTAACCTTCGATGTACGATAGGTACGTTTTAAGGCCATGTCTCGGCGAAACTCCGTTTCCCGGACGATTACTGAAGTTAAGCGACGTCGAGTTGGTCAGTAGCTAGATGGGTGACCGCTTGGGAATACCAGGTACTGCAGGCAATATGACCACTGAGTTATAGTAGGTGCTTGGTTTACGGTTTGGTATGCCTTTACTCCCATATCACGGTGGAACACTGATTCCCACATGATGACCGAAGTTAAGCGATGCTGAATTTGGTCAGTATCTGAATGGGTGACCGCTTGGGAATACCAAGTGCTGTAACCTTCGATGTACGATTGGTACGTTTAAGGCCATGTCTCGGCGAAACTCCGTTTCCCGGACGATTACTGAAGTTAAGCGACGTCGAGCTTGGTCAGTAGCTAGATGGGTGACCGCTTGGGAATACCAGGTACTGCAGGCAATGTGACCACTGAGTTATAGTAGGTGCTTGGATTTACGGTTGGTATGCCTTACTCCCATATCACGGTGGAACACTGATTCCCACATGATGACCGAAGTTAAGCGATGCTGAATTTGGTCAGTATCTAGATGGGTGACCGCTTGGGAATACCAAGTGCTGTAACCTTCGATGTACGATTGGTACGTTTAAGGCCATGTCTCGGCGAAACTCCGTTTCCCGGACGATTACTGAAGTTAAGCGACGTCGAGCTTGGTCAGTAGCTAGATGGGTGACCGCTTGGGAATACCAGGTACTGCAGGCAATGTGACCACTGAGTTATAGTAGGTGCTTGGATTTACGGTTGGTATGCCTTTACCCCATATCACGGTGGAACACTGATTCCCACATGATGACCGAAGTTAAGCGATGCTGAATTTGGTCAGTATCTGAATGGGTGACCGCTTGGGAATACCAAGTGCTGTAACCTTCGATGTACGATTGGTACGTTTTAAGGCCATGTCTCGGCGAAACTCCGTTTCCCGGACGATTACTGAAGTTAAGCGACGTCGAGCTTGGTCAGTAGCTAGATGGGTGACCGCTTGGGAATACCAGGTACTGCAGGCAATGTGACCACTGAGTTATAGTAGGTGCTTGGATTTACGGTTGGTATGCCTTACTCCCATATCACGGTGGAACACTGATTCCCACATGATGACCGAAGTTAAGCGATGCTGAATTTGGTCAGTATCTAGATGGGTGACCGCTTGGGAATACCAAGTGCTGTAACCTTCGATGTACGATTGGTACGTTTTAAGGCCATGTCTCGGCGAAACTCCGTTTCCCGGACGATTACTGAAGTTAAGCGACGTCGAGCTTGGTCAGTAGCTAGATGGGTGACCGCTTGGGAATACCAGGTACTGCAGGCAATGTGACCACTGAGTTATAGTAGGTGCTTGGATTTACGGTTGGTATGCCTTACTCCCATATCACGGTGGAACACTGATTCCCACATGATGACCGAAGTTAAGCGATGCTGAATTTGGTCAGTATCTAGATGGGTGACCGCTTGGGAATACCAAGTGCTGTAACCTTCGATGTACGATTGGTACGTTTTAAGGCCATGTCTCCACGAAACTCCGTTTCCCGGACGATTACTGAAGTTAAGCGACGTCGAGCTTGGTCAGTAGCTAGATGGGTGACCGCTTGGGAATACCAGGTACTGCAGGCAATGTGACCACTGAGTTATAGTAGGTGCTTGGTTTACGGTTGGTATGCCTTACTCCCTTTCACGGTGGAACACTGATTCCCATGATGACCGAAGTTAAGCGATGCTGAATTTGGTCAGTATCTAGATGGGTGACCGGTACCAAGTGCTGTAACCTTCGATGTTTGGTACGTTTTAAGGCCATGTCTCGGAAACTCCGTTTCCCGGACGATTACTGAAGTTAAGCGACGTCGAGCTTGGTCAGTAGCTAGATGGGTGACCGCTTGGGAATACCAGGTACTGCAGGCAATGTGACCACTGAGTTATAGTAGGTGCTTGGATTTACGGTTGGTATGCCTTACTCCCATATCACGGTGGAACACTGATTCCCCACCAGAAGTTAAGCGATGCTGAATTTGGTCAGTATCTGAATGGGTTTGGGAATATCTTGGGAATACCAGTGCTGTAACCTTCGATGTACGATTGGTACCCATGTCTCACTCCGTTTCCCGGACGATTACTGAAGTTAAGCGACGTCGAGCTTGGTCAGTAGCTAGATGGGTGACCGCTTGGGAATACCATGTACTGCAGGCAATGTGACCACTGAGTTATAGTAGGTGCTTGGATTTACGGTTGGTATGCCTTATCCCATATCACGGTGGAACACTGATTCCCATGATGACCGAAGTTAAGCGATGCTGAATTTGGTCAGTATCTAGATGGGTGACCGCTTGGGAATACAAGATGTACTGTAACCTTCGATGTACGATTGGTACGTTTAAGGCCATGTCTCGGCGAAACTCCGTTTCCCGGACGATTACTGAAGTTAAGCGACGTCGAGCTTGGTCAGTAGCTAGATGGGTGACCGCTTGGGAATACCAGGTACTGCAGGCAATGTGACCACTGAGTTATAGTAGGTGCTTGGTCATTTACGGTTGGTATGCCTTACTCCCATATCACGGTGGAAACTGATTCCCACATGATGACCGAAGTTAAGCGATGCTGAATTTGGTCAGTATCTAGATGGGTGACCGCTTGGGAATACCAAGTGCTGTAACCTTCGATGTACGATTGGTACGTTTTAAGGCCATGTCTCGGCGAAACTCCGTTTCCCGGACGATTACTGAAGTTAAGCGACGTCGAGCTTGGTCAGTAGCTAGATGGGTGACCGCTTGGGAATACCAGGTACTGCAGGCAATGTGACCACTGAGTTATAGTAGGTGCTTGGATTTACGGTTGGTATGCCTTACTCCCATATCACGGTGGAACACTGATTCCCACATGATGACCGAAGTTAAGCGATGCTGAATTTGGTCAGTATCTGAATGGGTGACCGCTTGGGAATACCAAGTGCTGTAACCTTCGATGTACGATTGGTACGTTTTAAGGCCATGTCTCGGCGAAACTCCGTTTCCCGGACGATTACTGAAGTTAAGCGACGTCGAGCTTGGTCAGTAGCTAGATGGGTGACCGCTTGGGAATACCAGGTACTGCAAGCAATATGACCACTGAGTTATAGTAGGTGCTTGGATTTACGGTTGGTATGCCTTACTCCCATATCACGGTGGAACGCTGATTCCCATGATGACCGAAGTTAAGCGATGCTGAATTTGGTCAGTATCTGAATGGGTGACCGCTTGGGAATACCAAACTCCGTGCTGTAACCTTCGATGGTACGATTGGTACGTTTTAAGGCCATGTCTCGGCGAAATCTCCGTTTCCCGGACTGAATTACTGAAGTTAAGCGACGTCGAGCGTTGGTCGGTAGCCGTTTCCCGGACGATGGGTGACCGCTTGGGAATACCATGGGTACTGCAGGCAATATGACCACTGAGTTATAGTAGGTGCTTGGATTTACGGTTGGTATGCCTTACTCCCATATCACGGTGGAACACTGATTCCCACATGATGACCGAAGTTAAGCGATGCTGAATTTGGTCAGTATCTAGATGGGTGACCGCTTGGGAATACCAAGTGCTGTAACCTTCGATGTACGATTGGTACGTTTTAAGGCCATGTCTCTCGGCGAAACTCCGTTTCCCGGACGATTACTGAAGTTAAGCGACGTCGAGCTTGGTCAGTAGCTAGATGGGTGACCGCTTGGGAATACCAGGTACTGCAGGCAATATGACCACTGAGTTATAGTAGGTGCTTGGATTTACGGTTGGTATGCCTTACTCCCATATCACGGTGGAACACTGATTCCCACATGATGACCGAAGTTAAGCGATGCTGAATTTGGTCAGTATCTAGATGGGTGACCGCTTGGGAATACCAAGTGCTGTAACCTTCGATGTACGATTGGTACGTTTTAAGGCCATGTCTCGGCGAAACTCCGTTTCCCGGACGATTACTGAAGTTAAGCGACGTCGAGCTTGGTCAGTAGCTAGATGGGTGACCGCTTGGGAATACCAGGTACTGCAGGCAATATGACCACTGAGTTATAGTAGGTGCTTGGATTTACGGTTGGTATGCCTTACTCCCATATCACGGTGGAACACTGATTCCCACATGATGACCGAAGTTAAGCGATGCCGAATTTGGTCAGTATCTAGATGGGTGACCGCTTGGGAATACCAAGTGCTGTAACCTTCGATGTACGATTGGTACGTTTTAAGGCCATGTCTCGGCGAAACTCCGTTTCCCGGACGATTACTGAAGTTAAGCGACGTCGAGCTTGGTCAGTAGCTAGATGGGTGACCGCTTGGGGAATACCAGGTACTGCAGGCAATGTGACCACTGAGTTATAGTAGGTGCTTGGATTTACGGTTGGTATGCCTTACTCCCATATCACGGTGGAACACTGATTCCCACATGATGACCGAGTTAAGCGATGCTGAATTTGGTCAGTATCTGAATGGGTGACCGCTTGGGAATACCAACTGCTGTAACCTTCGATGTACGATTGGTATGTTTTAAAGGCCATGTCTCGGCGAAACTCCGTTTCCCGGACGATTACTGAAGTTAAGCGACGTCGAGCTTGGTCAGTAGCTAGATGGGTGACCGCTTGGGAATACCAGGTACTGCAGGCAATGTGACCACTGAGTTATAGTAGGTGCTTGGATTTACGGTTGGTATGCCTTACTCCCATATCACGGTGGAACACTGATTCCCACATGATGACCGAAGTTAAGCGATGCTGAATTTGGTCAGTATCTAGATGGTGACCGCTTGGGAATACCAACTGCTGTAACCTTCGATGTACGATTGGTATGTTTTAAGGCCATGTCTCGGCGAAACTCCGTTTCCCGGACGATTACTGAAGTTAAGCGACGTCGAGCTTGGTCAGTAGCTAGATGGGTGACCGCTTGGGAATACCAGGTACTGCAGGCAATATGACCACTGAGTTATAGTAGGTGCTTGGATTTACGGTTGGTATGCCTTACTCCCATATCACGGTGGAACACTGATTCCCACATGATGACCGAAGTTAAGCGATGCCGAATTTGGTCAGTATCTAGATGGGTGACCGCTTGGGAATACCAAGTGCTGTAACCTTCGATGTACGATTGGTACGTTTTAAGGCCATGTCTCGGCGAAACTCCGTTTCCCGGACGATTACTGAAGTTAAGCGACGTCGAGCTTGGTCAGTAGCTAGATGGGTGACCGCTTGGGAATACCAGGTACTGCAGGCAATATGACCACTGAGTTATAGTAGGTGCTTGGATTTACGGTTGGTATGCCTTACTCCCATATCACGGTGGAACACTGATTCCCACATGATGACCGAAGTTAAGCGATGCTGAATTTGGTCAGTATCTGAATGGGTGACCGCTTGGGAATACCAACTGCTGTAACCTTCGATGTACGATTGGTATGTTTTAAGGCCATGTCTCGGCGAAACTCCGTTTCCCGGACGATTACTGAAGTTAAGCGACGTCGAGCTTGGTCAGTAACTAGATGGGTGACCGCTTGGGAATACCAGGTGCTGTAAGTTTCGACGTACAGTTGGTACGTTTTAAGGCCATGTCTCGGTGAATCACCGGTTCCCGCACGATTACTGAAGTTAAGCTACGTTAAGCGTGGTCAGTACCTAGATGGGTAAGCGCTTAAGAATGCCAGGTGCTGTAAGATTCGATGTACAATTAGTATGTTTTAAGGTCATTTCACGGTGAAATACCGGTTGGTATGCTTTACGGCCGTCAAGGTGAAACATCCGTTACTGCATGATTACTGAAGTTAAGCGACGTCAGACCTGGTCAGCTGGGTTACCCCTTTGGAATGTCAGGTATTGTGAGCTTGGACATGATGTTGGTGTAATGGTTAACAGCTCGGAATTGGAAATCGGAAAGCCGTGTTCAAATTCCAGTCGGGTTTGTTACTTACATTCACTTCTATGCAAATACCCTTGGGAAAGGCATGAATCCACCTCTACAACTCAGCTATAGGTTAAGTAGTAGGACTTGTATCAGTAAATCATTATTATCTCCCAAAAATGTTACAATCTAAAATATTTTCTGGCTTTAAATAACCTGTAAACGGTTGATAACCGTAAAAAACAAATCAATCTATTACTACTACTACTACTACTACTATTTAAAACTAGTCCTGGGTATGACGATAGACTACATGCGGCAGCAAGGCTTCTAATCGAGAGTGTAAAGGTTTTGAGAAGCCTGGAACCACCTCTTAATTGCTATTGTTCCTAGGTACCCCCCAGTTAGGGTGCAGATATGTGAAAATTGTGAACCCCTAAAAAAAAAAAAAAAAAAAACACTATGAAAGTATAAAAATACATTTTCATAGTAAAAATACCAGCAATACATTTACCAAGAATACATATTTATACTAAAATTACGAATAATACCCTCATACTAACAAATAGTAGCGACTTTAGCCAAATTCGTTTAAAATTCTACCAAATAACCAACGTGAAAGAACTCTTTCATGGCACTAATCTATATAATATCCTACAATTTCTTAAATAAAATTGTATTCCAAAATTTAACTTCAACAAAACTACAACATAAGACATACACATCACCGCCTCTAGTAATCACGTACACGCAAACATGTATATGCAAAAAGCTGAGTAATACCTACCATGTATTAAGCCGTGAAAGCAGAATAACACCATTATATTTTTATTCCATCAAAGCTCCCAAGAATATTAAACTTAGGCATTGAATGCCCCATAACGTGTTGATATGGCGTTAAACAGAAAATCAATATTAGTAAATGCCTTGATGGTACACCAGTCATTGCTCTCATGCCTTGTGATTTTAGTAACATTGGAATCTATTGTGTCTCCGTGAATTAAAAGCTTTACGGTATACATCCTTGGTTGTCAGTTCCCTGAACGTCACGAGTTGGGCATTTACAAGGGACTAAGGGTCTATGCGTACCTATCAACGAGCAGAGGTAATGGGGGTTATCATAGCAGGACCTCGAAAGTGTATTTTTTTAAGTTTTAAGTTTGAGGCAACCAAGGCGACGTGGGAGTAAAATCTAGCTCCCTGGGAACACCTTCAATAAGAAACCATCTCAGCAGACAAGATTAACCGAGGTGAAGATGTACTCCACCTGCAAGATTGAGTATTGATTTTATCAAAAACTGTAACCATATCACGTAATATTGGCTTGGAGGAGTGTGTCTGGTATATTCTTATTCTTGGAGGTCACGATGGGTATATTGGCCTCCGTATATTTTTTACCTAAGCATCTATTTTTGGGCGTTATTTGGCTGTGCAGGGGGTGCCTGGTATGTTCTTATAAGCTTGGAGGTCACGATAGGTATATTGGCGTCAATATTTTTACCTAAGCATCTATATTGGGGCGTTATTTTGGCGGTGCAGCGTGTGCTTGGTATATTCTTATAAGCTTGCAGTTCACGATAGGTATATTGGCCTCCGTATTTTTTTACGTAACCATCTATTTTTGGGCGTTGTTTTGGCTGCGCAGCGTGTGCTTGGTATATTCTTATAACCTTGGAGGTCACGATGTGTATATTGGCCTTCCTGTATTTACACCAAACAATCAAATTTTGGGCGTTAATTTGTCTGTGCAGCGTGTGCCTGGTATATTCTTATAATTTTGGAGGTCACGATGGGTATATTGGCCTCCGTATATTTTTGCCTAAGCAACTACATTTGGGCGTTATTTTGGCTGTGCAGCGTGTGCTTGGTATATTCTTATAAGCTTGGAAGTAACGATGGGTATATTGGCCTCCGTATATTTTTATCTAAGCATCTATATTTGAGCGTTATTTTGGCTGTGCAGCGTGGGCTTGGTATATTCCTACAAGCTTGGAGGTCACGATGGGTATATTGGCCTCCGTATATTTTTACCTAAGCATCTATTTTTGGGCGTTATTTTGGCTGTGCAGCGTGTGCTTGGTATATTAATATAAGCTTAAAGGTAACGATGGGTATATTGGCCTCCGTACATTTTTACCTGAGCATCTTTTTTTGTGCGTTATTTTGGCTGTGCAGCATGTGCTTGGTATATTCTTATAAGCCTGGAGGTCACAATGGGTATATTGGCTTCCGTATATCTTTTACCAAAGCATCTATTTTTGGGCGTTATTTTGGCTGTGCAGCGTGTGATTGGTATATTCTTATAAGCTTGGAGGTCACGATGGGTATATTGGCCTCCGTATATTTATAGCCAAGCAAGTTTTAACTCAAGTACTGCGCGTTTCTTGAGGATGTTCATGTTTACATCAAGAAAGAGATTTGATCCTTTAGTTGTTTGGTTTATTTTGGTTTGTTTTACGGCATATCAACATCTCAATGGGTTATTTACTGCCGACAAGATTTTTATTGCTGGTAATATTTTTATAATTTAACATAATATTATTTTTAGTTTTAAGTCAAGTACGGCGTCTTTCTTAAGGATGTTCATCTTTACATCAAGAAACTGATTCGATCCTTTAGTTGTTTGGTTTGGTTTGGTTTGTTTTACGGCATATCAACATCTCAATGGGTTATTTAATGCCGACAAGATTTTTATTGCTGGCAATATTTTTTTTATAATTTAACATAAAATTATTTTTAGTTTTAAGACAAGTATGGCGCCTTTCTTAAAGATGTTCATCTTTACATCAAGAAACTGATTCGATCCTTTAGTTGTTTAGTTTGATTTGTTTTACGGCATATCAACATCTCAATGGGTTATTTAATGCCGAGAAGATTTTTATTGCTGGCAATATTTTTATAATTTAACATAAAATTATTTTTAGTTTTAAGACAAGTATGGCGCCTTTCTTAAGGATGTTCATCTTTACACCAAGAAACTGATTCGATCCTTTAGTTGTTTGGTTTGGTTTGTTTTACGGCATATCAACATCTCAATGGGTTATTTAATGCCGACAAGTTTTTTATTGCTGATAAAGTTTTTTTTCAAAATCAAAAAAATTTCTGGGAATATTTTTCCTAGTGGAAATCTATAGCTGGTCGTATTTTTCCAAAGAATGTATAGCTGTTTGTATTTCTAGTATTTTTTTTTTAAATTATAGATGATAATAATTTTTTCCTTCAAAAATTATTGCTGGTAATAATTTTTTTTTATTACAAAGTATTTCTGGTATTAAAACCTATTTTTACACCAGTTTGGGTGTTAACTATTTGCCCATAGCTGAGACCCTAACAGGTGCTACTACCCCGGGTCAGGGTGGAGCTGGAAACACCAGCAATTAAGAGGTGGTTCCACGCTCCTCAAAATTTCCTGATTAGAGGCCTTGCTGTTGGACGTAGTTTATCGTCTTACCCCGGACACGGATGTAGTTTATCGTCATACCCAGGACGCGGGTGTAGTTTATCGTATTATTCAGGACGCGGGTGTAGTTTATCGTCTTACCCAGGACGCGGATGTAGTTTATAATATTAACCAGGAAGCGGATGTAGTTTATCGTCTTACCCAGGACGCGGATGTAGTTTATCGTCATACCCAGTATGCGGAAGTAGTTTATCGTCTTACCCATTATGCGGAAGTAGTTTATCGTCTTACCCAGGACGCGGTTTCAGTTTATCGTCATACCCAGGACGCGGACGTAGCTTATCGTCTTACCCAGGACGCGGATGTAGTTTATCGCCTTACCCAGGACGCGGATGTAGCTTATCGCCTTACCCAGGACGCGGACGTAGTTTATCGTCATACCCTGGACGCGAATGTAGTTTATCGTCATACCCCGGACGGCATTGTATTTGGTTCACATATTTTAATAATTTAGTAAATGTCTATAAATTTGTTTTCATGTTCATTTCTTTATAAATTGGTAAATAATAAATATTGAATTTGCGTTAGTTTTAATTGTATTAGTCTTTAAAATGTAAATAGAAAATTATTCTTGTAAATAAACAATCTGATAAATAAATGATGTTTAATAATTTTCACAGACAGGACATGTGATGCAAATAAACTAGACGTAGTCGTACAAGATAAAAAAAGAAAGAATCTGACAACTAACTAATATAACTTGTCCAAAACAGTATTTAAAAATAATGTCAAATTATAAGGACCCACACATCGAAGTAAGAAAAAAATAGAAGATTAAAACTACGATTATCTTTGGTGTGAAAAATACCAAAAATCATGCGAGTAAGATTCCTGGACACATCAGCATCTCAGTCATATCTCCTACAGTACCGTTTTTACTCATAGGCCCCGAAGGGGATTTGAAATTAGGCAGTTAAAATTACTCTCTGGTAAGATGATACCACGCACAACAAAAACGACAGCAATAATAATACTAATAATAAATTCTTTGTAATTTAAAATAAAAAAATATTTCCCAAATTTGCATTGGTAACTCCCGTACAATGACCTTTTTATTCATAGACACTGGAGGGGAATAATTAGTTATTTAAAATTACTTGGACACCTCGAGGTGGTGTAATGGTTAGCAAGCTTATCTCGCTAGAACAGTTTCGACTGGGTAGTGAGTTCGATCCTCACTGGGTGCCCCATACTTTCGGCCTTGTGCCACATCTGAGCTACGCTTGGAAAATCACTGTTTAAAATTGCTCTAATGCAAGATGATACCACGCGCAGTAATAATAAATCGAATCCCACAAAATCCTAGTTGGCAAAGACTTGGCAAAGGTGACATAACATATACTAAGAAAAGTGCT